TACTGTATTGCTAGCAATAGCATATGAATGCTTTTTGTGTTAGTTTTTTTCTTTGTACTAACAATAGAATAGAAAAGGTCTTTGAAACGAAGGGCTTGTTCTCGACTCGAATGCCCTCTTTGAAAGGGAATCATCATAGGCTCTTTGAAATCTATCTTTCAAAGCTTAACCTGGAAGAAGAAGACAAGATCGAATCTGTCTCGTTGAATGGACACAAAAGAGATATTTCAGTTTTGTTTCTATACGAAATTTCAGAAAAAGGGCTAAATACGTATAGAGAGGCGCAAAGGACAGATGTGAATTGTGCTATGATTCAAAATCTCCTTCGATCTACTCCGAACTAATCTTTGGTCTATGATCTCTCATCCATGGTCTCTCTTCCCGCTTTTGGTATTTATCTTTTCCTTCCCCTCGCTTTCCGTAGGTTTCTGAACTGTTCGTCCATTCCATCATCGCCACCTCTGTACCTGCCCCACTCGTTCACCTGCACTCGTTCCCGCCAGCCAAGCAGGTATTTAAAATAGTCATAAACCCTGAACCGCACCAAGCAAGCACCCGAAACAGGCTTCGGAGGAAGAAGCAAGCTAACAAGTCCAAGGTCTACCTAGCCAACTGCCACTAGAATAGAAGTTGACCGCATAGACAGAACAGCTTGTGATTCCCGCCTTTGGTGATAAAACAATAGACCTTTTCGCTCCTCTTCCAAAGGTCGACTTGCTTTACGCTCTTTTCCTTCCTTCCTAAAGAAAGTTAAGGGGCTCACCTCTCCTTCCAGCCAGAGAAGAGCCAGTTGGAAAGGAGGATTCTTTTAAGCTATCTAGGAATAAAGCAAGTTCACGAAAGTGATTTCGCTACCAGCTACTGCCATCTTTACTGTTCCGGGTACGCTTGTTTAACACAAGATTCAAGCAAGGTTGAGGGGTCTAAGGGGATAGACTAAGAATTCTTTCTCTCGGAAGGTGAAATCTTTCCCCCTTAAGGAGCTAACCTTTCCAAGGAACTAATATGACTAAGAATCCTCTTCTTAGCTAACAGCAGAGATTTAGCTTTAATACCTCTAAGAATCTCCAAGCGAGCCATTTCAATATTATATAGCATATTTTCTTTCTAGTGCAGTAGCATATTTCTTCCAGGACAAGGATATTTCCCTTTCCTATTCTTTCCTAACGAACTACCGAGCGTACCTTGCTACTGAAGTCTATTCATATCCAGCTTCACCAGCTGATTGATTCGGAGCTTCTTCTAGAGCATTCTGTCCCGTGCCCCGTGAGACTTCTGTTCCATCCCTACCAGTCCTTCATTTCTCATCGGTTTGAGTGAAAGTCTAAGTTGAATAAGGGTTGAGTGTTTGCTTAATCTGAGACTTCCCGAGTTGAAGTTGCTTTCGATGTCGTAGCAGTCTCGGGGTAATTTTGTCTAGTAGCAGTTGCAGTCCTTCTATTTTACATTCTTTCTCCCATAGGTTATATCTCTAGGTAGGAAAAGTTTACAGTGGTAGGGTAATGGAATTAATTAGGTTGCATCCATTGGGATAAAGGTTACAGATTTCTAGTCCTTGGGATGAAATCACTCCACTTTAAAGCCTTTCAACAGAACCAGTAACAAAGTCCCAATAGTGAGAGTAGGAGTAACATAACAATATTGACTTAGGGAAGCAAGCGGGTACGCAATCAGAAAATAGATTTCATTTGAACATATCTCTTACTTTATTACGCCAGCCTATCACATTTCTATTTCGATGGAAGTTGACTTTGCTGCGGTTTGAGTTTCCTCTTCTGTTTGTGCAGCCGAACCAATAGTGTATAAGCAAGTTTCCTTACCGGGGGAAAAAGTTCTAGTAGTAAGCGTATCTAGGTCCAGTCTTTGTTAAGCCGATGTAGTTGCAGTGCCATTGGGCCTTTCCTTTTATATCGGTCCAGATGAGGCCATTGCTAATGCCCTCTTTTTGGTAAACTTACCCCTTTGTTTTGTTTGTTGAGTTCTCGGTCTAGGTGAGGGCCTTCTTTCATCGCGTTATGTTACATCCCGCCCAGAGCCAGTCCCAGCGGTTTCAGATCTAGGAGATGTGGGAGAAGGTTTTCCTATCCCAGTGAGGAAGGCATTTATTGAGTAAGTGAGTGAGTCTATGTGCTCTCAGATGGCTCTTGATGGGAAGGAGCTTTTTAGTTCAATATCTTACTCGCCCTCGGCACCTATAATATGCTTTATTCCTTTCAAACTAAAGGAGAAGTCTCGCTATACCCCTTGGATGAGTAGTTGATCCCACTTCCATTGCTAGGCCATCCTAAGTCGTAAGCTCTTCTAGTTCTAGTTTCTAGTCTAAACCTATCCAACTTCTGAAGAAAGCTAAAGCTAAGCGGCGATGGGCCATTCCCTCTAATCCATTGTAAGTTCGCTTGGGGAGAAAGCTTCAAGCCAGCTATATCTCACAAGGGAGCAGTATATCATAAGCCAGCAGTCTCCCCTTAGGGAATCAGGTAAGCAGCGTTGGATTGGATGTATTTCCTCTTGGGATTAGGACTAAAAGGATCCTAGGTCTCTATACATAAATGTTTCTATCCGAGTGTAGGCTTTCTTCTCCTGAAGAAATTCTTCCTCCTAAGCCGGGGATACATGCGCATTTTTCTAGTCTTTCTCCCTAGTTCTTCTCCTTTATCTGGGGTTTCAGGTCAAGTTGAAGTCCTAAGCTAATCCCATCCAGTCCCTTTTGAAAGCAGTCTCAGCCCTGAGGCAAGCAAGGGCACACGCTTTCTTTCTAGTCTCGCCCTCAGTCTCTATTTATCTTCGGAAAAAGCATGATTTAGCATAACTCTCCTCAGTGGGGAAAAACTCCCACAAAGAAAGATTACTTTATTTAAATGAAAAAATGCCCTTTTTCTTGTCTGGGCCCGACTTTGACTTCTGTGGTTGGGCTTCGACTACGAACTTTCCCTCCCTACTCATAGCTATTTCCTTCTCCGCCTGACTAAGATAAGCTCGGTCCCGTGCTTCCTTTCCTTCCCTGGAACCAGAATAGAAAGCGTTCAATCTAAAAAAAGTCAAACCAGGAAGCTCACTTTCAAGAAATGTCATATAGGGAAAGCCCAGTCAACACTGTCAAAAGCCTTGTGGAGGTCTATCTTTAGTAACATGGCACCCTGAGACCCTTTCATCCTCTGCATTGAGTGAACCACCTCCTGAATGAGAACAATGTTATCTACCGTACTTCTACCTGCTAGGAAACAGCTTTGATAGGGTCCAATAAGCTGCTGGAGAAAAGGTCTAAGGCGAGCCACTATGACCTTTGATAGTACTTTATAGGCAACATTCAGCAAGCTAATTGGTCGAAATTTCTGGATTACATCTGGATTATCCTCTTTGGGAATCAAAACCACTAGAGCCCTAGTTAAATCAGAGTCAAACGAACCCACAGATAAAGCTTTATTGACAAAATCAACAAAAGTACCTTTCACTGTGTCCCACTGGCGCTGATAGAAAATAGCCTGTATACCATCTGGACCTGGGCTTTTTAGACCCTTCATTGAGAATAACGCTGATCTAACTTCGTCCTCAGTTGCTGGCCTAGTTAGCAGCTGGTGATCAGAATCGGCAATTCTCAGTTGCCAGCGACTGGTATCTAAGGCTGCTGGTTGGGTGTCCCTCCTGGTAAAAAGCTGCATGAAAAAATCCCGCACATGTTGCTTCAAAGTGTCAGCATGATTAGTCCAAGACCCATCTATTTTTAATGCCCCGATCTTGTTCCTGGACCTCCTCATAATGGTCGACATATGATAGAAAGAAGTGTTGCGATCTCCTGAAGAAATCCAATCAATTCTCGATTTTTGAAACCACAATAATTCCTCCTCAAAAAGCACCTGCTGATATTCTAATAAAAGCAGCTTTTCCAAGTTTTGAAGGTTAGACGAGCGGCCATAAGCTGGAGAGTTCTGTATTCCTGCCAATCTGGCTCTTAACAATCTCTTCTTCCTGAAGATATTACCAAAAGTTTCTTTACCCCATTGCAAACAAGTCTTACTGGTGGCATTAATGGCATCTTTTAAATCTGATGAGTGTCCCTCCCAAGCCTGTGAAAAAACCCGTTCAAAACCGTCTCTGGTTAGCCATGCTGCTTCAAAACGTTGTGGTTTAGTGGTAGGAACTTGGGCAGCAGCAGTATCCAAACACAAAAGAATCGGATGATGATCACTACATGTTCTCGGCAGAGTAAAAAGCTTCGCTCCCAGAAAACGCTGCTTAGCCTCCATGTTAAACAGAGCACGGTCTAGCCTCTCTCTTAGTATCACCCTGCCATTCTGAGTTCTACACCAAGTGTATTTACATCCTAGAGAGTCTTGTGATAACAGATTGCATCTATCAAGAGTATGTCTGAAGCGGGAAGCACGATTGAATACTGATGTACCCCTGGGAAAAACTTCATCCGAGGTCATAACATCATTTAAATCACCCATGATCACCCAACTGTTGGTAATAGAAGCACTTCTAAACTCCACATCATTCCAGAATGCCTCTTTATAGTGTGATTGAGGTCTAACATAGGCCAAAGATAGTATCCAGTCCCCCACTCCATGATTAACTGTGCAGTGAATGGCTTGCGTTGAGGAAGAAAAAACTGATAACTTTACAGTGGAGGATTTCCAAAATAACCATAAACCTCCTGCAAGGCCAGCAGTTGGTATTTGGAACTGACTATCAAAACCAAACTTCGGCATGAATTTCATAGCTCGTGAGCTAGAATCAGCCTTAGTTTCCAAAAAACAAACAATATCTGGTTGTTGGGACCTAAGCATCTCTTTACACTCTCGACGAAAGGGGCTGTGGTTTACCCCTCTACTATTCCATGTTATGATCTTCATAATGAGGGAGGTAAAGTCTGCTGCTCCATTGGAGCCGTCAAAGGCGGCATGAGCTCCTTACAAGCTGCAACTTGAGCGTCTAAGGCCTGAGAGCCTGAATGTGAAGTATCTACTGAAGATACAGGAATGGATCTCAGCACACTGCAATCGGGAATTATCTGGGTGCCCTGAACTATCAAACCAGAATTGATTTCAGTGTCCTGAGCAATCGGCAGGGAAGCTGATGTCATACATGGGGTGCTCAACGGGGAATCTCGCACAACCTTGCTGAGAACAGTAGCCAAACTAGTCTGTGACAATTGAACTGGGGGCTTACGAGGGGTCGGGGCCTCATATGGTTTAGTCAAGATGTGTTTAGTGGGTTTGGTAATTGGGCCAAGTCCACCTTTGGCCCTATTATTTTTACGGGCATTCTTCTGTGGAAGATTGGTGGATCTTAGTGGACCTACTAATTTGCTGGAATTGGGCTCAACCTCAACTACTTGCTTTGGGTCCTGCAGAGTAATTTCCATCATAGACTCCCGGGTCAGCAGTTATCAAATCACCAACAACTCTTCCCGTTTTCAACTGAGTAGATTTCCCTGCAACCGCTGGAAGTTCCTCTAATTCCGGAGATTCAGTTTCCAAATTAGATATCATCGCAAATCTATTCCCCCTAGAATTCTCACTAGATTCTACCAATTTCTTTTGATTGATCCGATTAGGCGGCCTCCGAGATTTCCTACTAACAATTGTCCAAGGCCCGTAAGGCTCGGCTAATGTAGCGCAATTCAGGGGCAGCGTTTGGGTAGGTCTAGGATTCCCTTCTGCAGCCTGCGAGGTGCTCTCCGCCGCCGCCGGTCGCTGTTTGTAATGGCATGCATCCTTCTTATGACCAAATTCTCCACAATGAAAGCAGACATTGTTCAAATCATAAGCCACTGTCAATATCATATTTTCTGGTTCTATGCCGTCATTAAAGTCCACCATTGAGGCTAATGGCTGTGCTAGATCTACCTCCACACATACTTTCGCATACTGTCCCCGGACTGCAAGCAGGGTGGTCTTGTCCACATATATGGTTCTCCCAACCTTATTCCCCAAGAGTCGCAAAATTGGCTCTTCATAATATTCCGTAGGTAGTTCAGGAAAGTGAACCCAGATGGCCGTTTTAGGTGCTTTTGCGTAAGAAGGACGGAAATTTGGCTGCCATGGCTGGACTGCCTGGTAGTGATCAAAAATTTTCCAGGGGCCGCCAGTTAAAATGCGGTGCCGATCATCCATTGAGGAGAACTTCACAGTATAATACCCCAGGCCTAAATCAATTAAATCGAACTCCGAATCTGTTCTCCATAAGGAATCTAATCGAGCGCGGAGGAGTTTCTAATTAATCGTTTTCCCCAACAGTTTAATAATAACTGTGTTCTTCCAATTATTGCGCAACTTCATGGTGATCTCTGGAGTGAGCCTCACAGACGGTATTTTGGGACCATGAGATTGAACTCCTTCCTCCACCACCTCCATTTGTTGATTGATTGCTTCTAGTTCCTCATAGGTGACAATCGGGTGCTCCTGTAACACAGAGCCAGAAACTAAGGTGTCCCGGAAACTTTTGGTTGCCGACTGATCTGTGTTATTATCAGCGATGATTGATTCTGGATGCAAGAGAGAGTGATTAGGACTGGCAGACGATGGATCTAAGGGTGACGGAGCAGATGGTGTCTTAATGCGATGGGTACTACGCTCCAAAGCATCGTGTTCTTCCAATGACAGCGGGGGTTCAGTCGCAGGAGAAGCCATCTTGTAGAGTACTCAAATTGGTAAATACAAATAATAATAATAATAATAATAATAATAACAGTTAGCTCTGGAGATGTTGAAGGAAGCTCTGTTCTAAATAGTCCTCCATCTTTATCTTTAAAAAGACCAACATCAGATACGTACCCAAATTAAGACTCTAATACTAATAAAGTAAAGGGAATAGACGTTTGAGGCCAATGCTGCTATCGAGAAAGTCAGCATATGCCTATCAAGGTTTTAGAGTCTTAGCCCGATACCTATCCTATCATCTGTATATAGGAGTATTCTATTTATTCTATTATATGGCTATTAGACGGTCGGTCCAGTGGAAATGACCAGTCATCCCCTCAGCCACGAACTCCGGCCCTACGTTCGAAATAGCACTAAAGCGCTGAAACCATTAAGCGTGTGGAATCATTGTCCTAAAATCTAATAAGTAAATTATGAATGAGAAGATTGGTCTATGGTTCGGGGAACCGATAGCATCCACTCTTGTGGCAAAAGCCGTGACAACAGAATCTTCTTAAGCGGAGAAGGAAGTACTTTGGCCGGTAATGGCCAAGCCCCAGCCGTGTGAACTGAACTTAAAGTTCCAGCTGACGTTTATGGTTGTGAATTCCTTCCCACGAGAGGAGACTCCTTTGAAAGGAGAAATTCAATAATGAATAATAGAAGAGATTTGAATTTTACATTCGCCAAAGACCCCTATGTGGGCCAATTAGCGCTAATCCCTTCCTTCTCAACTCTGGGTCGACTTCTTTATAAGAAAATTCATCGAAAACGAGGGAACTTTCGCTAGTCAATATCCCAAACATAGGGCTTATGTGATACCTGTTGGATTAACGGCCTAGACCGAAGAAAATAACAAGTAAAGCGGGTCAGGTGTGAAACTTGGACGTCTAAGTAAGTGAAGTTGTACTAACCGGTCCTATCCTAGATCCAACCGAGTTTGGAACGAGCTAAAGTGGATTGATCCGGTCGACGTGGCTAAGCTGAAAAAAGAAAGGAGTCCTATATCTTCTATACTGTACTGATGGCTAATTTTGGCTCACTTCCTCGATATGGGATCGAAAATCTTAAGTACTAAGATTTATTAGAGAGGTAGCGGGCTAGCTGTACAAGCAATTCGACCTCTTAAAGGGGGATGGGGTTTCCATCTACTTCTATAGAGGTATAGGGCTGCCCAGAAGCAAGATTCTAGGCAGGCTTAAGTAGGGATCTTGGTCTAGCCATTAGAGATAGAGACTAAGTTGAGCCAAGCAAAGCTTTGCTAAGAAACCAGTCTCATGTTTTGGATAATCAGTTGGTCTCAGGTAGCCTAATTCTCCTTTCGAACTACGGGATTCGGGTTGGATATGGTGATAAGCCAAGCCTAAAACTCCCGTCGCTTAACCCGGTGAAGAAGAGCTTCCAATCGAATATGCTTAACACACCCAAGTCAAACCTAAGGGCTACGAGTGGGGATTTCTAGGGAGATTCAAGCTGTGGCGCAGCTAGCTTTAGTCGGCATAAGAACAAAGAACTAAATGGGTCTCCTTAGCCTTTTGTTAGCTTCGGTGGCCTGGAGTCTTCTACGGGGGCATTTTTCGTCACTTTATCTATCTATGTCCTCACCGCAGCTACCCTCGCTCCAGTTATTGGGGCCTGTGCTCCTTCTTCAGGAAGAGCAGCAAAGGCGAAGAGCGGGTACGACCTTTCTGCTTATTTCCCCTTCCACCTTGATATAGACGAATGCCCCTTCCTATTCTACCAACATAGGTCTGCGCACAATGAGCGCGTCCTTGCGGTCTACTCTAAGACAGGCTTAGCTATTGATTGAAGAAAACAGTACACCAATCAAAAAGGTCTATGATCCACTAGTTAGCTCGCTCTTGTCCGAGCCGAGGGCTTAGTCACTCTTCTCTATTCGCATGTCGTCCAGACCTGTGGGAAATGCCGGACTTCCCCTCTGAGGCTAATGCCCTACTAGTTGAACTGCTTAAAAGACCGCCAGGAGGAAAGGACTTGCTTATTTGCTCTCCGGCCAAGGGAAAGACTAGTTCAGGTCAGGCGTCAGCTTCTGCCTTTCTTCCCGACGGAGCCGAAAAAGACTTGTTTGGTTTGGCTGCTTTGGAATACCTGCACTTCTTCTTCTGCTAATCTCGGAGTCGGATGCCGCCTGACTTTCTGTCTTCTGCTCTTCGACCTGGTCCGCTTAAAAGGGGATGTCTCATCTGACCATAAGGTTAGGACCTTTTCTGCTTATTACAGAGGAGCCTCTAGCTCACAATTCTTACCCCACTGATTCAATAATTGCCCAGCCACCGCCTAATAGATAGAAGGGATGCAAAACAGATAGTTGAAGGACACGTCCTACCTCCCCTTTCCGTCCAATAATCTCTATCCTTCCCACTCCTGATCTGTACTATTGCTTTAACTGCGAGACTAAAGGATATGAAACCGCGCTGAGGGTGATGGACCCCAGGAACTACGACTGATGGAAGACCCTCTAGGGCTGCCCTAGTACTTCCTTTTGATCGGGGGCTTCTTTCCTTTTCTCTTTCCCCACAATAAGCCGTGTAGTTACCGGATCGGGACAAAGAGTCGGTAATGAATCCGACCCTTGAATCTGCCCTTGATTTGATGATCTACCTTTTCGGTCAGTGCCTTACCCTGCTCTCATACCTGGAATGGAAATACCTGAGTCTAGCTCAGAGGCTGGTCCCCAAGAGCTCTCTTACTTGCTAACTGACTAGCTCCCCCACTCTGCTTCCAACATCTTCACTGTCTGGAAAAGGGCTAGTCCTTCCTATGAGTTTCGGGCCAAGGTCTTGCAAGTTCGGCTAAGGCAGGTTCAGCAGCTCTAAGAAAAGCTGGTTTAAAAGAGTCGGATGCAAAAGTTGTAGATTTCCCCGCATGCTTACCCAACCCGTAAACTACTCTTCTATCTCTCCCAGGAGCTGAAAAAGAAGAAGTGGCAAGAAGATCAGGAGCTATTCTAAAAGACGCGTCTCTAACTAGGCCAGATGTCCTCCCCTAAGACTTGATAGCCCTATCTTCCTAAGAAGGCAAAAACCCTCCCCCTGGCCAATCATAAGTCGACTGTCGGTCTTCACTCTAAGTTCTTTGCTGGCTGGCCTAACAATAAGAAGTCAGGAGCTAATCGTTGTACGGGCAAGGAATAGTAATCTTGTCTGCTGAGGCTTTTCTCCTATCTTTAAGGAAGGGTTCTACTTTCATTCCCTCGGTCCGGTCTACAAGAGCTAAAAGAGTGGGATGCCTAAGGAGGCACACGTTCTTTCCCGTCCCGCTATTCCTTGGTCGAGGAATACGGAATATCCGGTGTTACAACCTAACTAAAGGGGACCCCCTCTCTGATAAGGAATGACACATAATTAATATGAAAATGAAGTTTAAACCCTTATTAAATTGAATTTAATAATCTATGCAATTTTATCATATATCGGTTGTTTTTGCACCATTCTTCAACTTTCATCAACAGAGGGAGACAAGCCCTTTGGTCTGGAGAAAGCAAGGACTTTCCTTTGTCCAAAACCTTGACAGCCTCGTTCGCCTCCTTCACTCGCTCCGAATGAGCAAGAGAATTCCATCGCGAGCAACTTTTTTAATTGGGCCTTGGCTTTAGAGATGATGTCAGAGGAAAGGATGTCTGTGGAGGAAGCGGTGGAAGAACTCTGCTGCTCAGCAAGGCTTCCTAAGGCTGAAGCTACTTCAGCAAAGAAGAAAGACAGATTAGGGCTCGTTCCGAAAGAGATATATGTGGAGCGCTTCCAGTCCCTCCCAAAAGGGACTTACGCCGGCTTCGGTCAGCAGAGTAACCCTCCACTCTGCCATGTAAAAGACGGCTTCGTATACCCCTAATTCAGCCATTAGTGTGACTTATGGGGGCTCCTCGTAGAAAGCTTAGCGGTTAATAATCGAATAAGTAATCCAATCTCCCTCACGCTCTTTAGTTCATCTCGGTAGAACAAGGAAAAAGCCTATGTGGTGGGTTCGTCTCCCACAGGAGAGCACATTAATTACCAATCAGCTGCTTTTCATTCAAGGAAGGGCATGATTTTATCTACTAGGATATTATTTCGCGGTCCTGATTGAATGAATTCACTATTTCATTTCATAGTAATGTAATCGGCTATATGGCTTCTCTTTTTCAAGTGCGAGAGATTGCCGAGGTCATATTTTGTCTTATTTGAAAGATGGGAACGGAGGATCAACTCAATAATCATTGATAATGGTATTTCAGCGGCTAGTAACACATGGTTATCAAGCCGTGAAGGTCCCTTACTCTAAATTGACTGATTTACAAACCTACCGTTAGCCCTATGGGGAAGTTAAATAGCAAAAGACCCCTACCATTTCTAAGATCGGAGGGCCTAGAACCGGGGGGGAGAGCGCTAACAACCTGTTCAGTTAATCTCAAAGAGCTAACCGATCCGAGGTTTATGGAAAAAGATTAGGTAAGCATCCAAACCTGCATCGGCCGAACTAACATATCCAGTTTATCCTGAAGCTGTATTTCTCGAAATGGCATTACCATAGTAATTTTGTCAACCGAAGCCAATCCATCTCTGTTAACGAATGCTCCTACTCCTATCGGTTCTATATCAAATTCCTACTCCTAAGGATAAGGAAGAAGGAAAGGGAAGGAGAGAACAGCTACTAAGAGTTATACCACGAGCTATACCACAGAAAGCTAAAAAAGGAGCCGGGGTCTACTACTTTATATACGCTAGCACCAAAGCAAGGAAAGAAGGCTAGGCTTGACCATGTCAAGGTAAAATAGACTCCTTTAAAAAAGGTGGCCAATTATATAGGAGTACTTTTTTCCTTGGCTAGTAAGCCTATAAGGAAAAAAGCCTGGAAGGAAGAAGTCCCACGCCTTCTCTTAGGTCCAGATCAGAGAACTTTCGAGATCGAATCATAGCTAGAAGTTAAAGCTTTGGCAAAGAAGAATGACTTCCATTCCTGAAGTAGGGAAGATTACGTTTTATATCATGTTAATTTGATTCAGAGATGCCGATGCCAATTGTCAGTGCCTTCCTCTAAATAGAAGGGAGAGTGAACAAAGAAGAAAAGAATAGCTTTTCTCTTGCGGCTGCGACAATGCCTTCCATGCCAAGCAGGGTAGAAGGAATAAAGGTTCTTAGTCCTTCTCGAAAGCTGCCCGCGAATGATAGGCTGACAGCTGACTTGCTTGACCTATTGAAATGTCAGTATAAACTTCTGGCACATGGTCGGCGAGCTAAAGGGGTAGTTTCGGTTTTGGTTCTAGGCAAAGATCTTCCAGTAGCTGTTCCCTTCCCACTCAACATTCTTTCATAATATTCTTTCCTTGCCATCCTTCAACCAGCTTTTTTTCGGACTGCTCTTACTGCTGCTTCCTATGCTTCCTGCTTCTGTCTACCTCTTACTGTAGTAAGAGGTCGGATTGCCTAAATTCACTAAGACTACTCTCCATTCAAAAGAGTCCACTAAAGCTAAAGAAAGCAAAAAATTGCGTATATAATGATGAGACCTTGATCGAAGATATCCGAATTGGTGCGAACGAAACAAAAACTTCCTTCCCAGGCATCTAGTCATCCAGGGAGCTTCCTTACTCAAGGAATAAAAAAAGCCGACTGTCAAATGAGGGCACTTTCCCTCGGCTAGATCGGTAGGAGCAGAGACCCGTTTACCTCACAGAAAGAGATTTCCCAGAGGAAGAAAGCAAGCCAATTAAGAGGATTCGCCAGATTACTGGTATGGATATCTGATGAGCCCTTTTGCTATGAGCTCGGTATGAAATTGATCCTTCCTTTTTTCCCTTAGGAGCTAAGGGAGGTTCTTCTTAAGTTAAGGGCAGGCGGACACTTCTCTTCATTAGACAAGGCAAGGAAATGCCTTCAAAAGGCATTATGTGGTAGGCCCCATTTACTGGTAGTCCTTCTTCACTCCAATCCTAAAAGCCATCTTCAAGAAGGCTTTTCAACCCGGCTCTCTTCCTGTCAGTTAGTGGTACTGGCTTTGGATTTGGAGTACTTTTCACCTGTAAAGGATCATCTTATAGTGATTAGGTAACCGGCTTGAATAAAGCACTACTTGGCCCACGCCCTTCAATCGAGTGAGAGGAGATGTTTGATTAAACGTCCCATCCATAGGTAGTTGTTTCAAAACTGAAGCCAACCAACTATGAACTGGAGTGAGCAATCTCTGGTTCACCCAATTGCCTATGGCGAATAGTCTCCTTTTCCCTCCCCCTTCCACAGTTTGAGCCAACCTCCCCACCATGGGTGGACCCATTGCTGGGTGCCACGATGGTAGGTAAGGCCCAATCTTAGACTCAAAAGAGTCGAGATCAAGCCCGGAAAATAGCTTATTATTGGGATCGAAGGGATAACGAGTCCGCTTCTCAAACAATATACCCTGACACCATTGTTCTCCTCGAGAATTTAGAAAATTCACAAGGAAGGAGAATGCAGATAATTCCATTGATTGGACAAGAAAAGGGGACTTTATACCCCGGTAATGTCCTTTCTCTGGGAATATCTCATATAAAGTATTCAAAGAGGTGTACGTATAGGGGAGGAAGTCTATTTCTTATATGTTGCCTTAGTACCTGAAAAAGAATTCTAGTTAGCCCTACCAGGCATGCCTGTTAGCTCTTTTACGCTCGGTAGTACTTTTTATCGTTATTCAAAGTCCTAGGCGCACTAGACTAGAATGGATAGCACAGGTCGGAGGTGAAGCTTCTAGACCAACTCCTTCTCTGGTCTCTGTATGACTTCAAGGTTTGGTCACCAGGAATGGTAGAGAGAGCCCCTTTCTTGTTCATCTGATCCACGGGAAAATGCTCTTTGTTGGTCTCTCAATAGGCGAAGCAAGACAGAACTCCGCTCAATCTAGCAATGAGGAAAGAGAGGTCTTTTGCTTAGTAGTAGCCTTTCCCTTGCCCGGATCGGAAGTTGGAAACAAGGAGTCAGGTATTGAAAGATCAAGTTTTAGACAGAATCGAGCTGAAAGCTACGTTGCAGCTCTTGGTAAAGGGAGTGGTTCGATTCCCTTTAGCGGGGCTTGGTAAACCACATTTTGTGGAGTGAAATGATCCATGAACAGAGGATCGACAGAAGCGAAGCTAGAATCACACCATCAGGAGTAGGTCCAAGCATTCCTCTTTGGGGTAGGTGGGCGGGAAAGGTAGAACACTAAGATTTACTCGTTCGATAAACAAGATCAAAGCTATGGCCATGCCTCTGAGATAGCCAAATTGTCCGGACATTCATCCATTTAGTGCAGTTACGATGTCATTGCCTAGATCTTCCTACTCATTTATGCTTTGATCACATAACTCAATAGCTCGGGAACGAAGCGAGCAATCTCGTACTAAAAGATCTATTGTGTCATCAACTACTTTGGGGTCGGCAGAAGCCTTCTCATCATTGACTGATCGGGCACAAGAATCCTATCCGAAGCGGAACATTCCTTTATTTTTCAACTAAAGACGTCGTGACACACAATGGATCATAGGTTGCTCCTTTGAAGGTGAATTCCCAACATCAGATGACCGAGAAAGAATTCCCAGAGGGGGAGGCTAGTCCTGTATGCTATTATTCCAATGCTGACATGTCAAATAGACAATTGATTCCTGGTGACTATAGAAAGCTTTCATCGTGTGACCACATCTCTGTATGGGCGGAGCGCGGGCATAGAACAGAGCTTCAAGCAGGCATTACATCGATCCAATCCCTACTTATCTTGGTCTCCAAATCACATAGATAGGGACAGAGTGACAGCAAACAGAGATGAGGAGAAGGTGTCAAGTGTAACAATTGACTGAGCTGGACCAGGAAAATCAATTAGAGCTCTTGTTTCCCTCTCCAACCTAG